TTTGTTCAAGCTGAAGTCTTTTTCTTTTATCATCCCAGTTAGGCAAAGTTCAAGACCAAGGTCTTCTTTTTATCCCAGTTAAGCAATAAGAATAAATGATCTTTAGTCCATACTGAGCTTCGACCCTTTGGTTACAATTGAAAATATATTTTCTCAAAAGTTGTTGAAGTATACTACAATCAATGAATATTTCTATTACTTTCAAACCCCTTACACTATTATAAGGCAAAAAGATTATTGAGGAATTTGGCCTTTTGGATAATGGAAGATGTATATCAATAAAATTCTTTTAATTAAGCATAGCTATTGAAAGATATAATATTGAAACAACATAATCTAGTTCTACTAGGTCACATAAGAACCTAAAGTCCATCATAAGTTAACTCTCTATCACAGATAAATAAAAAATCATTACTTAAAGAAGATTGGAACCAAGTGTATCCTGGAAGTAAAGGCTCACACTAGATAATAAGTCTTCTCAGATGACATACAAGAAGAAAATCAAGATCAAAAATAGATGAGTTTTTCGGATAGTTAGAAAAAGAAAGAATATTCCAATTGAACATTTTTTATTGAGAAGAGGTCTTGAGAAACAGGTCTTTAGAGGAAGCTATAAATATTTTTTTTCAATTTTTACTTTTTTATTTTCTTGTTGTCTGTTTAAATATTTTTAGATATTTTTGCTTCCTTTTTTTAATCTATTCTTTTGTAGTTTTCTGTATTCCAGGGGCTTGATATAACATATAATAGTGATAACCTGCTGGCAATGATGCAGTGGACTAGAAAGGTTTTTATTCAAAAACACTGAGAGTAAAATAATATCTCCAAGGTTGAACTTAAAGGCTTTTATACTTATGAGGAGTTAGTTAGATTAAAATTAATAGTTTAGCTATAGTATGTATCATGCTGCTCGAATAAAAATGTACTTATATTTTCAATTGATTAATAAACTGATAATCTAGTCTGGTTATAGATACTCAAAAAAAATTAAATAAAAATATATTAGTATAATATTAGTTATCAAAGTTATAAAAAGTCTTGATAATAATTATATAAAGAGAACATTCAATAAATATAAATATTAAAAACTTATTAAGACAATAAGCAAAAAAAAAAAATTGATCTAGATTGAAAATTACAAAAGAGAATTCAATATCTCTAAATCTAATAAAATAAAAATATAGATGTATTAATTTTTTAAAACTGTACAATTTATTAAATATCTTTTATATTTTCTTTAAAGTCAATAAAAATAATTATTTTTTATAAATATAATACAGAATAAATTTTTAATACTACAAATACTTAAAAAAAATAGAGCCCATATAATAATTATTTGTTTAGTATATAAATTTTAAAAGAAATACTAGATTATCTTTTTGAATGTTTAATTACAAAAAAAGTAATAAAGATAAAGTTGTGACTAAACTATGAATTTGTTACTAATTTATAGCACTTTGTATAATTTAAACAACTAACAATAAACATATATAGCTATATTAAAAGAAGAGAATGCCTTTTATAAAGAATACTTAAGAAAGGCAAAGACATGGTAATTAACTTGATCAAGAGTAAATATTTCTTTTATTCACATTCTGTTTCTTTTGTATAATATTAACAATTATCTTTATTTTCAATAAAAACTATCTTTTTACATTCAACACTGCTTTCTTGATTTACATTGATATATTATATATATGCTTTCTAATTAATAATATATTATTTACTTTACAATAGACCATGTTAATTCTAAGCTTTGCAAAACTTTCTATGCTTTGTTATACATATACGTTCTCTTATTAGTACATGAGTCTTAATTTATAGTCTCTTATTTCTCAAGACTTATTCTTATATACCAGGGTTTTGTTTTTAAATTTTAGATATATTATATATAAATTATATCATCCATATGACCTTAACAATATATAAGAAAAAGTATATAAAAGATTGGTTTTTATATTACATCAGGAAATTTTTTGGATAGAGATCTCCACCATAAAAAAGTTTTCGAACATTTTCGAAAAAAATCTTCAGAAATATTTAAAAATCTTTGAAAATTTTTATAAGGAAAAATTTTTATAATAAAAAATTCTGAAGTTTTTTCATAATGAAAATTTTTAAAGGTGCATAGAATTAACCAATAAAGTATTGTTTAACCATGACCAAACAAAATTTTAATTTATCAACATTTTGATGATTACATTTTCTAAGCAAAATATTTTATTTTTTAAGCAAGCTAATAATAATTATAATCATGAAGTCATTTTCAAATAGTAACAAAGATTTGTATGTAGTCATAAAGTGACATAATTTCTTGGGATTTGTGTTATATAAGTCTCTAAGATTCTTCACAATTTCCTTAATGCCAAATAAAAGACAAGAAACGTGTAACATGTTTCAAAACATTATTTTAGGTAAAACTTCCAGTAAAAAAGAAAAACATAATAGAAGTTTTTCGCAGGCCTCCAAAAAGACATCAAGTTCTTTGAAGTCTCGCGATCATGTTAAAACCTTGAGAAAAATGTCTCCACTCGATGTAGATAAAGACGTTCCCCACAAGCATCCATGAACCTCTGGAAGTACCCATGAAACTGCGTCACACCCGGCTTGGATGTATGAAGAAACTTCAGGTATATTAAAAGAACATAGCATATATATAAATAAATAATAACTATTTATTTAGATTATGATAGGTTTCTTGAGAGAATTTGGAGTCCAACGAAGCCCTCTATAAAAAATGGATCAGTTGCTAAAATGGCAAAAAAGTGTAGAGGATAAGGTCACCCGCCTCGAAAATGAAATTTACATGAGTATATATTTAATTACTGAACAAGAATTTATTGACGTAAGTTATAAATTAAAGATCTTTGGAGAACTTTAATAATATATTTGATATTTTATTAGAAGGCGATCAAGGGAATTGCGAAAGAATTGTTTAAAGAAAAAATATATGTGGAATCTGAAGATTTTCGCAAGCAATCTGATAAATTTTTTTAGAGGAAACATTTAGAGTTCTATGAAGGACTTTCAAGAAAATGATGGAAAACATACTATAAAAAGCATATTCGCCAAAAAGTAAGTTCAATAAATCATATGTATTTATTTTAAATTATTAATGCTCTAATTTTATTTAATAGCATATCAAGCAATACAGATCTATCTATGGGACTATGGATTTGAAGGTTAGTGATGCCATGTTTTCTGTTTTTGATGAAGGATCACTTGATATAATCAACACCAGTGCATCAGCTACTGAAATTATGACATGGAAGCAGTCACACAAGACAGCCGAATGTTATAATAATCTTTACAAACTTTTGGAAGGAGAAGATCAGAACATAATGTCACGCATTCTTGAAAAAGTTTGGTCAAGAGAAGATTCCTCCACTGAACAAATGATATTTGCTATCGCAATTTGTCAATCTGTTCTAAATCCACATAATGAAATAATTACTATAAATGAAGTGGTTTTAAAAGTGAAAATTAAGAAATATAAAGTAAGCTTCAAAGGTCTTTGAAGGTCTTTGGAAATGTAAAACATTTACTAATATATATTTTTAGGAAAAAATTATAAGAGCAATTAGATTCACGGAAAAAGATTCTAGTGATGAAGATGGATCCGATAATGAACCAATGAGTGATAATAGTGAAATAGAAGTTCTAAAACCTCTGAAGGTAACCGAAAATAATGAAAATGATCTGGTGTCAAACGTTGAAAATTTATCATTAGAGAGAAATCCTTCGGCAATGAGCTTAACAAAAGAATAAATATATGATGTGAAATAAATATAATAAATAATCTTTAAATATAAATAAATATTTGTAATATAATTTTTAATAATATTTATATAATAATTTAATGTAAACATATTTTATTATATTTAAAAATCTTTGAAAATCTTCAAAGATTATATTAAAAATTTTTAATATAATATCCAGAGATTTTCAAAAAAAAATTTTGATTATCTCCAGAAATTATATATATAACTTTTACTCCAGAGACTTTTAATGACACCGGAAGTTCTCCGGAGATTTACATCTAAAAAATTTCCTGATGTAATAAAAAAATAGAAAACAAAAAGAAATTCTTTTAATAATTAATAATTGAACAAAAAACTGTTGAAAGTAATCTAACAATTTGATAAAAAAAATTTTAATATTATATATAATGTTGGAAATCACATGGATAATACAATTTATGTATAATAGTTTAGAACTTAAAAACTTAAAGGTCTGGCATAAAAGATTGAGTGTTATGAGGTAAGAAACTATAGATTAAGGCCCAAGTACTAATAAAAGAACTATGTATATCTGATGGAGTATAAAAGTTTAACAAAGTTTAGAGTTAGCATAGTCTATTATAAAGTAAATAATCTACTATTGACTAGAAAAGTATAAATAGCTTACTAGTATAAGCCAAGAAGGCAGTACTAAATATGTTAAAAACAGCTCTCATTGTGAATATAGATAATAGTTAGTATTATACAAAAAAAAATATAATATAAATAAAGAAATATTTATTCTTAACCAAGTTAATTACATATCTTTGCCTTTCCTAAGTGTTTTTTATAAGAGATATTCTCTTCTTTATCAGTTGTGAGTATTGTTAGTTGTTTGGATTATGCAAGATATTATAGATTAGGAATGAACTCACTGAATTAGCCTATGACAATAAATACATTAAAAAAATAAGACTATATTCTTAAAGATTTATTTTAAAGAATAGCTCAAGATTCCTTTAATATTTATACAAATTATAATTAGTAAGCTCTATCAAAGAATACAAAGAAAAGATCTAAAATAGCACTGTATTAAAGTAATAAATTATGAAAAAAAAATCTAGATATTACTCAAGAAAAATAAAGAATCAAAAGACTTATATGTAGGTTATATATAAATTGCTCAAGATTAGGAAAAATCTATATTATCTTTAGTGGAAAATTCAAATTAAGAAAACAGGAGAATAAAAAAAAAAAAAGATTGTACAAAATTATTAAGAAATGGATTAGTCATAATATTAAGTTATTTAGTTTTTAAATTGCAAACATAGTAATAACTTGTAGAAAATAAATTGACTGATTTAAGGTTAACCCATATCAGCAAAGAAACAAAATATCGTTCTTTAAATTGCATTTAAAGAAATAATTTTTCTATGATGGGTGAGTTAATATGTGAAAGTCACAACAATTTGTAAATATTTAGTACATATACAATAAAGACATGTTATTTTGATCTAACTGTGAGTTAAAAAAATAAATAAATAAATAAATTACTTTATAATATTATACAAGTTATCTAAATCTAAGATCTTTAGGAATCGATATAATAAATAAACTTTATTTTATAAATGTTTATGGATAAACTTTCTTGAATACCGATTTCCAAATATTAATGAAAATAACAAAAAACAGGTTACTATGTCTGATCGTTTACTGTATATTGAAGAACAGCTCCTTGGTTACAATTACTTATGAAATTATTGATTAACTTTCCATTTATCCTTTCAAACTGCAATATAATAAAACAGAATCTATTTCTTTATTAAATATTTGCTACAATTTAAGATAAAGTTGTCTGCTTGTCCAATATTAGAACAAGACTTTAAACAAAGAAGTTATTGCGACCATGCAAAACTCAATAAACAATCATCGAACATTAATTAATTAATGTTCCAGCAGAGATACTGTATTATAAGATTTTTTAATAATACGAACATTAATATATGTTTTATAATTCAATAGGCTTTTACGCTTTTGTTATTAGTAAAATCCATATCCTGATCGATGGTTATCAGATTGGATATCATCCTGATACCGATCGCTATAAAGAAGTTGATCCCGTTAGGATGCAAGCTCAATTTATTCACGCCAAGACCCTTTGACCATAATATATGTAAGTCCACTACAACCTTTTTTCGAAAATGATCACCTGAACATATCATTAGCTTGGAAAAAAAAAACATTTCTAGACTTATCCCGGAAAACAATATTTTTAATGACTGCTCTGCATGTAGACTTAGTAATTTAAACCATATTAAGGTATTATTTATGCAGAAATCACAATCGGAAATTTCATTTGAGATTGTCTATGCGAAGAAGGATAGAGTGTCAATCGTGTATAATGAAAAAAAAAAAGATATAGGAAAATATTTCTGCCTTTTTAGTGCAAACGCTAAAGTTGACATGGCTATCATTCTTACTCCAGGGAACTGAACAAGTTATACAGTTTATCAGAGGTATAATCGGCTGAAGTAAGAAAAGAACCGCACTTTCTCGCGCACAACCGTCGCAATAGCATATACTCTAAAGTCTACATATTATTTTTCATATCAAAGCGAATAAAGTTGAGCTTATCGAAGATTATTAGGAAATTTAGAATGAACGATGATTTGAAATATCATATGAATACCTCCCTTGTCATTTTTTTTTCTAAATTTTCCTCCTTCTTATGCATAAAGAAATAAGTGGCTGCACGTATGTAATACGTATTCTATATCCAATGATTTTCGGTAAGCTCGATCATTGGATGAAATCAATCATGTCATTTCTAAAAAAAATCATATATACAGTATATTGTCTCACAGATATTTTACATTGTGCTGTAACTATGGAAAACTTTAAAATTTCGTTTGGATTTTGCGATTTATTCGTACTAAGTTTAACATTACTTATCGTGAGCATAATCAATTACTATTACAAATATTATACAAGAAAAAATCCTCTTCCCGCTCCTTTTCCACTTCCATTTGTTGGTCATATCTTTGATTATCTTATTTACAGTAACGATTTTTACGAATACTGTCATCTATTGCATTCCAAATATGGCGATACCTTCGAACAATGGTACGGAAGCAATCGTGTTATATTTTCTACTAAGCAAGAATACATAGATAGATTATTATCACCATCAACTAAAAGCAAATATATGGCAAGAATTCCTAATCCTGAAGGCTTAAAGGAACTAGGCGTTTTTGGAAAAGGACTTTTATTAAATCACGATATTAATAATTGGAAGTTTAACAGGCAATTCTTTGTCCAATCAGTATCCACGTTAAATTTCTTGAAAGAATCTGTTAATTGCACACAAATGGTATTTAATGAGATGGAGGAATACTGGAGATTTGGATTAGAAGACGACAACATTACCGATTTTTCCGAGTGGTCACATAGCCTCACCACGGATATCATATTTCAGATGATTACTGGGAAAAAAACGTGGGCCACCGCTTCGTATTTCTTGGCCATTTCACGAGGATCGAAGTTAGAGAGATTACAAAAGTTTGATGAAAAATTGATTAAAGAGTCTTCTAAATTATCAAAAGCGTTTCAGATGTTTATTATGGGAATGGATTTCTTCACATTCTTTCCTCAGTGGGTGAGAAGCTGTGTTCCTACTTTTAGAGCATCCCAGAAGGAAATCTTAGAAGCACGTGATTTATTATTCGAAAAAATAAATACTATTATTCAAGAAAGAAGAAAGGAAATAGAAAATATACAGAAAGTGGAAAAATTGCGACCTGATATGTTGACTCTATTGATTACAGCCAATACCGACAGAACTATCTCTGATATAAAAGATATTAATCAGGAGTATACAGAACCTTTAACAGATGAGGAGATACGCGGAATTCTTATAGAAGCCCTAGCAGGTGGAGTTGACACTGTAATTATTGATTTTGTTTTTTGATAACTGTATTTATTGTTCATTATGGAAAATTTAGCTTATTTTCTTAATGTTAAATTCTATTTTCACAGACTGCAAATGTATTTAGCTTTACTATTTATTACCTTGCCCACTATCCAGATATTAAAGATCGGTTACGTCAGGAGATTGATAATATTTTTAGCCAAAAGGAAAACAGATCACTCACATATGATGACTTATCTAGCCTAGTATATTGTGAGGCCGTAATTAAAGAGGTATCGCGTGTAATGGCCACGGCGCCTTTTATAACTCGTTTTAACTCCGAACCGGATTCAATAGAAAATATTGAATGGGGCACAAATACACGGTTTTTAATTTTTGCTCCTGGTGTTCATCTAAACAAAGATTACTGGGACGTACCAGAAAAATTTGATGTTGATAGATTTATCGATGAGAAGAAACAACAGAACGGGAAGAACCTCTTGCTCATGTGGGGCGGTGGGTTAAGACAGTGTCCCGGTCGAAGACTGGCAATGGTTGAACTAAAATGTTTAATAGTTTCAGTGTTTAGAAATTGGGATATTGAGTTAGTGGATATGAATTCTCCGTTAAAGTGTGAAACTTCCATTGTTAGAAGTGCTAAAGACTTGAAAGTTAAGATCAAACCTCGAAAGGTTATGTAAGAAATGAATAGTTATAACGTCCTGTTGTATAGATCGCTTATAATTGCACTATAACATTTACAAATATCGATTCTATTACTTTTAATAACTGTAAGTTTTGCGTTGGGGTTGAGTCAGCCTGGTTTCTTCACTAGGAAGATTTGCTTTATGATACTTTACCAGTTATTTGGTCAATTATTAGCTTCAAAGAATTTCAAGCATTTTCCTTTTAATTTGATAGGTCGGGTTTATAATATGGAATTTATTAGAATTTTTTTATATTTAACGTTAACTCTCTAAACAAATGGAATAAAGATATAAGGATTAACGGCACACATTTGTGTTATTTCGCATTACGATATAATATTAATTATATTATTTTATTATAATTCTTATATCGTAATTTCAAAAATTTTTATTGATTGGTTCAAAAATTTTTTCTAATTAACTTTTTTTTTGTAATTTAATATACTATTAAATTTAAAAAGTAAATTAAAATTATTTATTTATAAAAAATCAAATTTTAAAATATATTTTAAATGCAAAGTGTTCAATTTATCACAATATTGCAATTATATATGCATATATACTGTATATATATTTAAATTATTAAAATATAAATTAATTAACACTTCTGCAGTAATGACCTGCAGAAAATGAAGTTAGCAGTTGGAAGGATCCTTACCTGAACTACTAGTGGAAGTTGCACTTAGAGTTTTGATAAATTCCAAAATAGAGACTAGTGAGTTAGGTAGAGACTTAGCTTTAGTGATGCATTTCACAATGTAAAGTATAAAAATGTTTAATAAAGCACATATGCATAGCTTGATAGAGGGTTTAAAATATATATGTGCGTATATGGCCAATCTTCACTTTAGGTGATGCGTTCATCACCGTGGCATCTCAGAGTTAATGCGAAAAATAATAATGCCGGCTGAAATTATAATTATGATTCTACCGGAATTATAATTAACGTCAACCAGTGTTATAAACTAATGTTAGCCGGAATTATAAATTTAATGCCAGTCGGAATTACAAATCTTAATTTCACCAGAATTACAAATCTAATGATGACCGGAATTACAACTAATAAGAAAAGTTTGGCAAACTCAAATTTGACTGATAAATATTTTAATACAATTATCTTATGATTAAAAGTTTGACAAACTCATTTCATTACTAGAACCTCTTAAGAGACAATTGCATTATTGAGGGATGGATTTGTTTGAAGTTTTTTCTTTACTTCTAACTTATATTTATTAAATTTTATTCTTTCAAATACTTGGCAATATCTTATAATGTTTTTTTATAATAGCAATACAAAAATCTTTAACCTTAAACTATTGTTTTTTTTTTTTTTTTTTTTTTTTTTTGACTTGTTATTTTTTCAAAATCATCAAAACTTTCATATTATTGAATATTTCATTTATTCATAAATTAATATCCAAGTTTAAGAAAATTGATTCACATTCAATAGTTATATTTTTATATTATCTAATTATATTGATTTAACTTTTATATCTTTATTTACTGTTTTTTTATTTTAAATAGTAATTGATATTATATAAGAAATGTTTCTAAAGTTTTTGTAATATCTTAATAATATTCTTCTTTAAAAAAACTCAAGTTTAAAAATTCTTAAATACAGAATTAAAAAATATATTGATTATATTTTCAAAAGATTTTATTTATTATTTTAAGAAAATTTTATATTTATCTTAAAATTAAACATAAAAACACAACCTTTATATAATAAATTAAAATTATAAATTTTTATATTAAATAAATTGAATTGAAAAAAAAACTCTTTCTCACAGATCCTTTTTCTTAAAAATTTTCTTTTATAGTAATTTTGAAAGAAAAGAAAAAGTGAACAGAGAGATGTTTTCTCAAAGGGAACTTCATAACAGAAACAGCCCAATGGAGACCCAACTATAACAAGAATGCTCTCACAAGAGGTAACATTAATAAATTATACAAAAAAACAATTCTGGAGTTCCAAAGAAAAAAAACTCAAAATCAAACATTAATTGAAGATAACAAGCCTTCATTGGCTCTCAACTCTCCCAACAGGCATACACAGATAGATAACAATACAACTATTATTCCAACAAGCAATATAAAAGCAAAAAAAAATATAAATATCATAAACTGAAGTGAAAAAGTTGAAGAAGACTTAGTCAACTATTCAGAAAGAAATAATACTAGTCAAGACATACCTTTTCAGAATTAGAAAGAAGAAGAACATACTTTTGAGTCAGATATTTATATGAAAGAAGAAAAATATTCAGCGACTCCCATAATCTCTTCAGGTAGAACATCCAGCTATAAAGAAAAAAAAAGAATATAAGCATATCACAAAATCTAGACTCTCTTTCCCATTTAATAAGACACAAAAATATGAAAAAGAAAGAGTTAAAATTGATATCCTGACATCTGAACTTTTTGGCAGGATGACAACATAAAAGATAATCTATCTTATTAAGACCCTCAACTCACCAGAAGGACTTCTCACTATATACAGTGAAGGAAGTAATGAAAATGAATATATCATTGTTATTCTCAGCAATAAACAAGTAGCAATTGAGGTATGCAATACAATCTTGCCTAAAGCAAACAATCAAAATATGGAAATCATGGAGTTTACAAACTCTATCCTAAAGAAGAAAATAAGTGTCTATCAAAGTATGGGACATTCCTCTTGACACAAAGTTCATTAAAGTGCAACAATTATTAGTCAAATATGGGGCAATTAGTAATATTACTATATCAATACAACAAATGTAATAAATAGCAATAATTATATATATAAATAAAGATGATAAAGAAGCAATAATCAATCAAATGAAACTCTTTCCGCTGATCCACTATTTTTCTAAAAATTTCCTTTTTTGATAATTATTTAGAAAAAAAGGATAATATATCCAAGCTCAGCAAACACAGTAAAGAGAAACACAACTACATCACCCCACTTGGAGTAACACATAAAACTCTATAAACAAGCCACCAGGAGAAGAGTACATAATAATAACATTAGTATTTTATCCATCAACTTTTGAGGGAAGAAAACAAAAGTAAATCTGAATCACAGTAAGGCCAAGGAACCCAACATCAACTCTCCTAGCTTTCAACCAGGTCAGTGCAGATTTACACCTTTCTAGACATTAAAAGGAACCTGGCAATATATAATCTCAACCGGTAAACCATCAAAACTCAAAATTTGCAAGACCCAAGAGGACGTCAGGAACTCAAGAGCAACAGCTAGAGATTATCAGTAACAACACATCAGTAACACATAAACAACCAGTATATAATGCAAATACAAATATGTACCTTTAGACAATAGAGACATAACAATAGATTATATGATATATCTCTAAACAGATAAACAAGCTCAACATATATTTTAGATAATCACAAAACATGTTCCTAATATCTATTTACCCCTTAATAGAATCAACATATGTGTTACTGAAATCAACAAATAAACAGATAAACAACCTGCAACTCATGTTTATCCTACAATTGATCTACCGATACAGCAGATAGATTAGGAAATTTCAGTAATACTATCTGAATAAGTAAACAAATAAACAAAGTTAATCTGCAAAACGTGACTCATCCAATAAGCACATGATACAGTCAACATAGATAGAACACAACATATTGTTTATATAGTAAATAAAAGGGAGGAGAATATTTTGAATACCTTAGTTAAGCTTACAAGAAAGCATGACGAAACCTCAGAACTATGGGTATCCCAATAGTTGATAAGACAAAAAAGAAGAATATCCAATAGAAGAAACAACTCCCACATCAGAGACTTTTACTATCCTAGATAGTATTATTGCTAACATCCTAGAAATAGACAAAACAA